TAATATTAGCAGAGGAAGTCAGGCTAACCAAAGAAAGACTCGCAGGCATTTCCGCCAACTGCCTTCCCAAGGTCTGAGACTGGAGGATGCATTCAACTCAAATTCTATTCACACAAACCCACACAGCACAAACCAAACCCTATCTGACTCATGATTTGCCAGACAATGTTTAAAAGCAGGCTCTAAACATAGCCTTAAACCAAAGCCGAGAACTCCTATTATGTTTCCGAGTCCCTTGAGATGATTGACAACTGAAAGACGGAAGAAATCTATTGTGTTGCTTCAAGAAAGGATGAAGAGAATTAAGAATATTTTGCTATTTTTGCTTTTTCACAGGGAAGTCAACGTGAAATCAAAATGGACCCTTTTTACTCGAAGACACATTAAGACACAAATGTTTGTTTTTATAATCTTTTATCAAAATGTATTAACTACTCCCATCCAACCACCTGTCATAAAGAGACCATTTTTCACAATCCAATCAATTCCCCATGGATAAAATCCCATCCAGCCAAATATCCATTGACTTTGCTGAAAATATGGAGCAAAAAGTTGCCTTTATTTCAACATTTAGCAAAATAGTCTAGTCATACCTTTTATCCCAAATTTGTTGCGTCTGCTGTATTTGTTGATGAGGACGAAAATCACAATGAGGAAGACGCAACCAAAGCCAGCCAGACCAACAGCAATCGACATCTACAGGAAAAAGCAATAACGCAGTCAATGACACAGCTATGTCTGCTGAAACTGAATTTAAAGAAGAACTTCAGCCTTTTGCTTTTTCAGACAGAATGGACGTCTTACTCCAAATGAATCTTCTTCAGGACTCTTCGCCTCATCTTCAGGTGTTGGAGCTACAGGAAATAGAAAAGACATTGCGCAATTAAAGAGGCCAAAAATGCTTTCCTTTAGACAGTGTTGTTGTTGTTAACCAAAACTATTTTTTATTGCAATAAAGCTGAAATATAAAATAAATATAAAATTAAAAACTTTTAAAAAGTAAACAAAAATTAGATATGTTACATTGGCAACCAACCGAAAAAAAAAAGTTTAAGCTGTAGTACAAAAATTACTAAAAATTCAAATGAAAACTGAAAATTTAAAATATAAATGGGATATTAATACATTTATAATATATACTGTATATACTTTATATATATATATACAGTATATACAGTATCTATATATATAATACTAAAATAACACTAGTTGTTAACTCTTTTAATATTTACTTCTTAAATGTTCATCCTTGGCTACAACAAACCTAAACAAGTTAAACATTTCCACCATTATTTCTCATGGGGATAAAAATAAAGCAATTTAACACCCATTGACACACATCATCATGCTATGTGGAATAAGTCGTCACATGACATTAAACTGCTTGTTATAGACTTTTTGGCAGAGTAAAACAATTCCTGAATGAATGAATGCATGCTAGTTTGATACCAAATTTCAAAATATCTGAATTTAAAGACATAAATCTAATTTAATTAGACGTTTGACTTAATAACTATTCAGCCCTGTGACAACTAGGTCTGCTTCCACCAATATATTGAATTCTGTCTGTTCCTTACTAGATATGTCTATTTTCAATTCACTTCATGACTTGTACGTTTATGATGCAGCCTGAGAGGCACAGTGTAAACTGTTTTGGTTCTGGAGGCTTTTGTCTGAACCCGTGTGGCTTGTTCACAGGTGCCAGAGAGGAATTGGCATTTAATTGAGTCATAATGGCAGAGGTGCAGCAGAGCTCACATATTACCGCATCCCGCACCCAAAGCACGAGCCGTCCTCGCTGGACTCGAAAACAATTACACCATCCTGAACTCGTAATGCATAGAGCTTGTATACGTGCCAAAAACGTGCTGTAATTCATAAGGGCTATTCTTTAATCTACCTTTGTTTAGTGTCATTAGGGGTGTCCTTTTTTACAGATAGTAGGTAAGATTTCAAGTATACAAGTTTGCTATGTTGAGCATTTTCGTTTGCCAAGTTCTGTGTTCTTGGAGCTATTATTATGAGATACTGCTTGAAAGATGATACTGTTTTATCAAATTCTTCAATGCTGAACTTAAGATCATAGATTATAATGTATTTGAAGCGAACAGAATAGGGACATGAGATGTGACTAATATGTTTTGTCTGTCTGTATTCTTTTGGTCAAAAAGAGAGAGGCACTTACTGTACTCAATTATTCCTAAAAGAATGGCATAAGAGGAGAAAAGAAAAAAATATAAAAGATTAAAAATGGAAAACATTTTAAAGCATAAAAATGTGTAAAAGATACACTACCATTCAAAGGCTTGGGGTCGGTAAGACTTTTGTTTTTTGAAAATGAATACATTTCATTTGATACGCATTAAAATTATGTGTCAGATATTTCAAATAAATGCTTTTCTTTTTAACTTTTTATTAATCAAACAATCCTGAAATGTTTTTTATCACGGTTTCTGCAAAGATATTAAGCAGCACAACTATTTTAAACAATGATAATATTAAGAAATGTTTCTAGAGCAGCAAATCAGCATATTAGAATGATTTCTGAAGGATCATGTGACACTGAAGACTGGAGTAATGATGCTGAAAATTCAGCATTACGTCACAGAAATAAATGACATGTTAAAATATATTGAAATAGAAAACTTATAAATTATAATAATATTTCACAGTATTACAGTTTTTACTGTAATTATAAACAAATAAATACAGCCTTGGTGAGTAGAAGAGACTTCTTTCAAAAACATTAAATATTCTTACTGACCTTAAACTTTGTGAACTGTAGTGTATATAGATTATATAGTGAATTATACATTCCTATATATATATATAATATATACTATAATATAGTATCACATATATTGTTTTGTATATATAAGCAGGCACACATATCAAGGTATATCAAAATAAAATGAATAAATATCACGAGTCATTCCTATCAATAAATATCAATAAAATCATCCATCCCTCAGGCTACAAAAGTAAATGAACAATTAAATAACTTACCATCATCCTCAATGAACGGTGGCTCAAGAAAATAGCCGTAGATGGTTTTGGTGACTGACCCGAGAGAGTTAGAGGCAACTAGGGTGTAGTTTCCATTGTCGTAATGCGTGGGGTTCTGAAAAGTCAAGCAGCCTTCCAAGTAATCTTGGTAGTGCTCCATCTCCATGCGGATATACTCGCTCTGCAGGATCTCACGGCCCTTGTGGAACCAGCGAGTTAGAGGCTACTAGGGTGTAGTTTCCATTGTCGTAATGCGTGGGGTTCTGAAAAGTCAAGCAGCCTTCCAAGTAATCTTGGTAGTGCTCCATCTCCATGCGGATATACTCGCTCTGCAGGATCTCACGGCGCTTGTGGAACCAGCGCAGTGTGGGATGGGGAAAGCCCCTCACAGTGAACTCAATGCAGGTGTGATGGCGCCGCTCCGGCTCGTCCAGCTTCAGTATTACTGGCGGAACTGATATGAGGAAAGAAAAACCAAGGGTTCATAGGAAGACAGAGGCTTTTATGTAACAGATACAGGACAGAATGGCTGACAGCAAATTTTCATCAGTGAATTACACAGATTTCTCACCCATGGTAATATACACACACATACATTCTAAAAAATGCTGGGTTGTTTCAACCCAGTGTTGGGTCAAATATGGACTAACCCAACTGTTGGGTTAAAAAGTTAATTTAAAAATGTAACCAAAATTTAACCCAACAGTTGGGTTAGTCCATATTTGACCCAAAATTGGGTTGAAACAACCCAGCATTTTTTAGTGTATATTTACATACTCTTTCCACCACAACTCTCTTTTATTTCTGGCATCAACACTATGGCAACAAACCAATCTAATTTCATTACCTGCAAAATGACAATGCATACAGATAGTCCTAAATGTCAGATTTAAATAGACAGATCAGAATGGGGTGCAGTGTGAACGGAAATATAAATCTCTATTCCCTTTCCTTGTATGGAAAACTGAATCTCAGACATTCAGCCTAACATCTCATTTTATGTTTCACAGATAAAAGAAAATAATACACACAACATAAGACTGACAATGGTGACAGACGACAAGAAGAGCGAGTAAATGATGATACATTTTTATTCCTTTAATGTTAAAAGTTAAAGTCTCAAAGATTCACTTTTTGTGAAATGCACCTTCATAGATTTCTTAACAATGGAGTTATTGTCAAGTAAATAGCAGGCCCACTGTTAGGTTAATATGCACTATAAGTTCATAAATTGGGTCTTCGATGAAAAACGGACAGAGCATAAATGGACAGAGGGACAGCTCGTAATCTTGCTGTCACAGACTGTATATTATTGTACGCTATTCAAAGGCAAACCGCATGCAAACGTCTTGTCCAACACTGCACATTTGTTTGTCATTCAAATGAGAACACATCATTATTGTCAGCTGCCTTCTCTTGCCGAAATGATTTGTGCTTTGCTGACTGATGAGACTAGACGAGAGATATATCCCTCCTGTAGAGCGGCTCGGCACACATCCCGCCTAAACAGATGACATGTGTTTTAGAATCAGCATGCAGCAGCACCCTTGCTCTCAGCCTGTCTGCTCTCACTACTGCATGAGGCCTGTCATTTAGAGAGTCCTGCTGCAATCCCACCAGGAGAGAGAAAGAGAACGGGAGGGATGTGCATCCCATATGTGCGGCTCATATTCTGGAGCTTTTGATCGGAATGCTAAAATCCAACTGGTGCACTTTTCATTAGCATTATTAATGCGGCTAAGTGGAACAGGGCCAAACCTTTTGGCTTTGTTGACTGCACCCAGTTGTGATGTTTCTCAAATCCGATCTTTAGGACTGATTGTCCATGCTGTCAGGTAGTGAAATCAAATTTTTCCGTTCTGATAGTAAAGAACTGGTCTACAGAGACTGTCATTTAAAAAAAAAAACATAAAATAAAAATAAATAAATCATACAATTATTTCATTTACAAAATGTATATTTAAATTAATGACTTTTCTACTTTATATGAATTTAAATATATACTATTATAACCTGTTTAAATATGAACAAGGGATTTACAACATTAAAGAAATCCTTTATTTATAACATGTACATGAAAAATCGAAAAGATTGGACACAACTATGGGACACGGTCGTGCAGCAGTGAGCAACAGTGAAAGGAACCTCAAGGTTGTAAATGTGTGAAATTGTATAGGGCCCCATTCCTGTATTTTGCCTGGGGCCCCCAAATCACTAAATCCGCCCCTGGGTAAAAGAATGCATTCAAACAATCCGTCCCAAACACAGCACTAATATAAAGGAAACCAGGCCACCGCTGTATGGCCAGATGAGACGCAAACTACGGTTTCTCAACCAGTCTTGCTAGTAAAGTTTTGATGGATGAAGACTGCAATCAAGGTAAAGACGATTACGGTGGCATACAGCGGTCGTGCACGCGTTGAGTCCGTTAATGCGTGTATGAGTGCTCTTGACGCACTGATCGCACATTGTATTTATGCACAGGCACAGACATTTCCGTACATTCACATTTTTTCCACACACATTCACGATAATGTTTTGATTTGTCATGCTTATGTTGCTGTGTTTAGTTATACTGAATGGATCCGTGTACTGTAGTACAGAATCACCCTTCAATCTTTTGGTTTACTTTGCTGGATATAGCAAATGATGACAAAATAAACATTTGAAACAAGATGGTCTATGCTTAATTTCATGAAGTGTGCGATTAATCGTTATTAATCACAGAAAAAAGGATGTGATTAACCAGATAAAAAAATTTAATCGATTGACAGCCCTAATATATATATATATATATATATATATACAGTATCTCACAG